AAGCTTATGACAAACGTCCAGAACTAGAAAAGGTAAGCAGTTTTGAGATAATTCTTGTATTACCTTTGTGTTGAATCTCTCTTTTTTTAAGAGGATGTTTGCATTCTTCTAGTGGGAGAAAGAGGCTCGGGCAAAGCGTATTGGACTGTGGGCTTCGAAAAACCCTGAGATGCCATGGGAATGGAGAAAGGACCGACGTCAAGGAAGATAAGCTCTTTGCAATCAAAGCTACCATTGAGACCAACGGCTGGTTGTTCTTCTACCCAAGAACATATAGGGGCAAGCTCAACCAAACTGTTTGTCCTGAATAACAGAGAAGTTCCCTATTTATGATCAAGAGATGCTAGCACGTCGAAAAAAACACCACCAGATCGAAGTTGTATTCCCATCTATTTGTGCATCAAGTTCAAAGAAGATCTTAATCTATAATGAAGAAATAATGGTTGCTCGTTGTTTTATAAGCTTTTTATCATATTCACAGTCAGACTCGACGGGAGAATCTATATTTTCCCGTTTAGATTTTAGGAAAGACTACATTTCTGATGACTCTGTATATTTTTCGATCATGATGTGAACTTGAGTTTAATTTAAAGGATCCAGTGAAACGTTGCTATTGATATCTTAAAAGATTGAAGAATTCATCATCCTGCAGAACACGAGATTCTAAAGCAAATTCCTGGTTTCATGAACATTATCTTTGTGCAATGTCCAAGAATTGTTACTTTAGATTAGAGTAAAAGCACTATGGAGCAATAAAGTGGTCTTAAACACTGTCATTATGCTGTATAAAAAATTGCATCCTTATTATTGAGGATCAACTCGACAAAATGAGCTGGCACAAAGAAATCAGTTAATGATAAGAGAAGCATCCAACTGATTCACACGAAAAAATCAGAATCAACACAGTTACACTTTGGAAGTAAAGAGAGCAACACATTGGGGTTAAAAACTGAAAGAAAACTAAAGATGGACGAAGCAGCAGGCCAGGAGTCGGAAGTTTTACAGAACCATGGTAGATGTGGGCACTGGTGCAGCACGAAAATACACTGCAGAAGACGAGCTTTTGTCAGTATTGAGAAGAAGACATGTAAATCAAAAGCATTTAAAAAAATTACATTTCCATAACCCAAGAGAGTACTACAGTTGGTCGGCCACAAGAAGTCGAGAACAAATTACTACTGCAACTTTTTCACATTATTGTTCTTGTTTCCACTGAGATGATTTAGACAACCCGAAAAACTGGCCTCCATGGCCTCAAAGCAGATGCCATAATGGCCTCCTAAAAGGACTCGTATTTCAACAAGGAAGTTCTCCATCCAAGCCAGCATTCCCTGCATTAATCACAACATCTGCCATCCATTTAATTTTATTTCTATAGCTCGAACTTTCTATCCAGCAAACTTGAGTGAACCATTATTTTCTTTTCTTACCAACATGATAATGTCAATGGTTTCCTCATTTTTTTTAGCCACTACAGTAACATCCAACTTTGTGCTTGTCATGGCATTCAGCAGCTCTAGGCAGGGTAAAAATAATTAGCAAACGTAGAAGTTTCCACCTAATCAAAATGACTTTAACAAACATTGCAGAATTGGTCTAGTGGCGCTCTTTTAATACAGTTAAGAAAGGTGACTGGTTTGTTCTCATTGACAATAGTATGCCCTGGGAACATGCAGGGCATCAAACAGGCATCAATACATAATGCACAAAACACTTAAATCAAACAGCTTTAGTTTCAAGTATTTTCAAAATTCTAAATAACAAAATAAGAACACAGAACTGAAATCAAAGTATGAGTTCGAAAAGGAAAGCACAGGTATCATTGGAAATAAAAAGCAAGAAAAATGGGGATGTTACTCGTAACATGTTATTCGATTTTCAAATTTATTTTTATTTTTTAGACAGTTAATAAGATTTGGACCAATGCCATCCATCCCACGGTAACGACAATACCACCAGCCCAAGACACCTGTGGTGCGCTTATGACTGCTTCGGATTCATCAACACCACACTTAACATCCTGGACATTTTCATTAACACCACATGTCAAAAGGAATTGTGCTTGTCTACATTCTCATTAACACGCTAATAATCTTTTCTAGATTGGTTTAATGATGTGTTTTCAACAATGCATGTACAATAAGGATTGGAAAAGTAACTGGGTGTTTATTCAATTGACTGATGAGAGCAGATTGAGATAGTGAAAAGGGAATTTGAACTCAAGGGAATCACATATAAAATTTTGCCCAATTCCGGACTCACAGGCTTGACATCCTATTGGAAATGAAAACTAGCCTATTACCCACAAAATGATGACAATAGAACTAATCTAAATTGTTTACGACAACAAAGACCTCAGGAAGGACCAAGTTAGAGAGCCAGGGAAATAACTACGGGAGAGCATTCATATTTTTGCCCAGGTAAAGGGATGCATCTCATCAATTTAATGGGTCAAGGCTGTCAGGCACCACCAAAATGAATATCGAGTAGCGACGCCAAAAGGTAAAAACCTATTTGCATTTACCATATGTGCATGCTATATATTATATTATTTTATTAAAGAAAACTAAGTTTGTTGACATCAATTTAATCCTGTTATACAATTAGTGAAAAGCTTATAAAAGCTGTTAACAGCTATAAAGCACATACACTCTTTAAGAAGGTGACGTATCTGTGTCGGCCACGTGTCAGACACCTATACTCTTCGGACACATGTCGAATATTCTTTTATCTGTATCCATAATTAAATGAAAATATTTTAATTTCAGACACATGTCTAACACTTCTTTGGTAATGTGTCTGACACTTTTTTAGACCGTGCCTACTACAAAACAATAAACATGCATTCACATGTGATTAAAAAAGCTTAAAATTTGACTAATAAATATCTTATACTATGAGAAAACATACAAATACTAAAACTAAACATGTTAAAATTGTCCTCAAAATTTGATAACACAATCAAAAGATAAAGAAAAGATTTAGAATAAAAGTAATTGAGAATATGAGAGCAATTATTTAAATTATATATGTTTAGGACACGTCTACGAAAAAATTGATGATTATTGACTATTATGAAGTCTAAAAATTCAATCTAGATGGCTAAATATAACTTTTATTATCATAAATTATTTTATTATTTTTTTTTATGAATGTTAAGAGTATTAGGGTGTATATGTGAAGTGTTAATAGTGTTAGGGTATTATGTGCAAATACATGAGGATGTGTGTGTAATTTTTATTATTATGAGTTACCTATAAATACAAGTGATGTATGAGGGCTAGGTTAAATTTTAACCTCCCTCTGTTTCTCCCTAAATATTGTCTCTATGTTAATCTTCCAAACTTAACATGGTATCAGAGCAAAATCAATACAAATTTTAACTTTTCTGGTTCACAGTTGTGTGACTGGTGTGGTCGTCGTGGTCCGTGGTTGTGCTGGTGGTAGTCAACTGTGTTGTGCTGGTTCGTGGTCGTGTGGTGGTAGTCGACCGGTTTGCTTGGTGGGAGTTTCTGGTTCTCCAATTAGGTGGTGGTGGTGGTTCTTGGTGAAGTCGATTGTGGTCGACGTTGTGTTGCTCGTCGTTGTGTGGTTGTTGCTTTGCTGTTCGATTGGTGTATGTCATGTTGAAGGAGCATTAGGGTTTGCTCTTTGGAGAAGAAGAAGTCCAGACCCTAATCCATACCCGGATCCAGACTTGGATCCAGTAGCCTCAGACCAGACCGGTTCAGGCCCAATTTAGGCCAGTTCAGGTAGTTTTAGACCGGTTTAGGTGTGGTTTAGTCTGTTTTTAGACCGGTTTAGCGGTCCAGAGAGCCCAGCCGATCTGGTTTAGTTGTCCAGCCCGATTTTCCAACCCGGTTTAGTATCCCAGTTGGTCCAGCTGGTCCGGTTCAGTGGTCCAGCCCCTATTTCCAGCCCGGTTCAGGTTCAGCTGCTTCCTTTCCTTCTGTTATTTGCTATTTGCGGCACTATTATGGATTCCAAGCAAGATATCACGTCCCTTACTCCATCTTTGCCTCCTCCCACTCTTATTAATGGTCCCATGACCTCTGTCAAACTCAATGGGACTAATTACACTTTATGGTCCCGATCTGTTCAAGTCTTTCTTCGAGGCAAAGGATTTAAAAAATATTTAGTATATCCTAAACCCAAGGAAGACACTCCTGGGTATGATCAGTGGGAACAAGAAGATGCTCAGATTATCTCTTTATTGTTGAATAACATTGAGCCTAGTATTAGCTCTTCTCTGCTTTATCTTGATACTACCAAAGATATATGGGATCACTTGGCCACTATGTATTCTGGTACATGTAATTTTACCTGTGCGTATGAGGTGTGCAAGGAGTACTTCCAGTTGGAGCAGGGTACTCTGAGCCTTGCGGATTATTACTCTCATGTTCGGGGAGTTTGTGAGGAGATGAAGACCTGCCATCCGTTTACTACTGATGCAGCAATTTGGCAGAAGCAACATAAGGACCTAAATGTTGTTCGATTTTTGGTAGAATTGAAACCTAAATATGAGGCTATCCGTTCTCAGATTTTGGGTGGTTCTAGTCTTTCATCACTGCTTGAGGTTTTCGCTCATTTATAGCGTGCTACAATGTCTACTCTCCCAAGCATCGATCATGGTGTCTCCACTGACCGCTCAGTTCTTGTGGTTTCTAGTAGTCATAGTGATGGTCATCGAGGTGGACGTAGTGGTAGTGGTGGTCGAGGAAGTCGTACAGGAGGTCGTACGGGTGGTCGTGAAGACCGTAGTGGATCCCATTCCTGTACTCACTGTGGTCGTGGAGGACACACTGTTGACTTCTGTTGGGATCTACATGAAAAATCTTCTGGTGCTGCTAATCAGGCTTCTTATCAGGATAACACCCCAACTATTGCTTTCATACCTCGGTCAGCTCCACCAGACACTGGGTCAGTTACTATTACATTGGGTCGAGAGGAGCATGCTCAGTTCCTGTCCCAGCAGTAGGCTGTTCCATCTCGCTCCACTGTTACTTTGGCCCAATCAGATACTGCTTCCACTTGTTTATTGTCCTCCACCCGCAGTCCCTAGATCATAAAATCTGGCGCTTCTGATCACATGACTGGTGCGTCTGATATTTTTTCTACTTATCAGTCTGCTACTTCCACACGTAGTATTGCTCTTGTTAGTGGTACTTGTTCAAAAGTTTTAGATCTGGGGACTACTCACTTGAGTTCTAATATGTCCCTATCATCTGTGTTATTTGTTCATCAGTTTCCTTTTAGTTTACTTTCTATTAATAAGATTACCCGTTCTCTCAATTATTCTGTAACTTTTTATCCCTCTTATTGTGTATTTCAGGATCTCAAGATGAAGAGGAAGATTGGTACGGGTCATGAAGCCGGTGGTCTATATTACTTTGATTTTGATTCACCTACTTGAGCTATACAGACCTCATTGTCTCCTTTTCAATGGCATTGTCGTCTTGGATATCTCTCTCTCCAGAATCTAAAGCGTCAAGTTCCCAGTTTTAGTTATGTGTCGTCTTTGTCTTGTGAAACTTGTTAACTTAGTAAACATCACCGTGTGTCATTTCAGTCTAGAGTCAATAATCGTGTGTCTAGTCCATTTGAGTTGGTACATTCTGATATATGGGGTCCAATAAAGAATATTTCATCTTATAAATATCCTTATTTTGTGTCTTTTGTGGTTGACTATTCTCATGTGACTTGGTTGTTTTTGATGAAATCTCGATCTGAATTGTTCTCTATCTTTGAGACCTTTCGTAAAAAAATAAAAACTCAATATGGTTGTCGTATATGTATTTTACGTTCTGATAATGCTCGGGGATATGAATCTGATCATTTTTCAGCTTATCTTAGTAAAATTGGCATTATTTATCAGACTTCCTGTGGTTACACATCTCTACAGAATGGTGTTGCTGATCGCAAGAACCGTCATTTGTTAGAAGTCACCCGTCCCTTGTTATTCCAGATGAATATTCCCTGATATTTTTGGAGTAATGTTGTTCTCACTGCTTGTCACCTTATTAATCGTATGTCATCCTCTGTGTTAAATGAACAAAGTCCATATTATGTTCTTTTTCCTGGTAAACTCTTATTGTTCCTAAACCCTAAGATTTTTGGATGTGTCTATTATGTTCACAATTTAGGTCCTGGGTTTGATAAACTTGATCCTCGAGTTACCAAATGTGTATTTCTTGGTTATTCCCGCACACAGAAGGGGTATCGTTGCTACAGTTCTTCTCTGCGACGATACTTTATTAGTGCTGATGTCACATTTGAGGAATCTGTTCCATATTTTTCAACACCTTTGCAGCCTTTGGATCTGGACTTTGGGTCACCTCTTGTACCACCATCTCTTCTCTCATCTTCAGATATTCCGCTGCCTACTGTGTTACCGTCTACTTTACCTCTTCGTGTATACTATCGTCGTCCTCAACCATCGACTGAGATGTCCGTACCGTCTTCCTTGCCGTCTTCTGATCCTGGTCCATCAGGTACTTTAGACTCTTTACCTATTGCTTTTCGAAAAGGTACTCGTTCATGTGTTACTAATCATCTCATTGCTCATTTTGTTTCATATGATGCCTTATCTTCTGTCTTCTCTTGTTTTACCTCTCAGTTATCTATTATATCTATCCCTAAGTATTTACAGAATGTATTATCCGATCCGGGTTGGAGGAAAGCTATGGAGGATGAAATGGATGCCTTACATCACAATGAGACTTGGGATCTTGTTCCTTTATCCCTTGGTAAACGAACTGTTAGTTGTCGTCGGATGTATACTGTTAAATTTCATCCGGATGGTTCTGTGGAGCGTCTCAAAGCTCGACTTATTGCAAAGGATTTTACTCAGACCTATGGTGTTGATTATAAGGAGACTTTCTCTCCTGTTGCCAAAATTTCCTCTGTTCGTATCTTGATTTCTTTGGCTGCTAATCTTGATTGGCCCTTGTTTCAGTTAGATGTCAAGAATGCCTTCCTAGATGGTGACTTGGTTGAAAAAGTATACATGGAGCAGCCACCTGGGTTTATTGCTAAGGGGGAGTATGGGAAGAGTGTATGTCCGTTAAAGAAATCTTTGTATGGTTTGAAACAGTCACCGAGGGCATGGTTTGGTAAGTTTTCAGATGTAGTTTTAGAGTTTGGTCTTCTTCGATGTCAGACAGACCATTCTGTGTTCTATAGACAGACAGATGTTGGTTATGTTCTATTGGTGGTCTATGTAGATGATATTGTGATTAAAGGAAATTATTCTGAAGAGATTGTCAAGTTAAAAATCTTCTTGCAAGATCGATTTCATACTAAGGATTTAAAAAAACTCAGGTATTTCTTGAGAATTGAAGTGGCTCGATCCAAACAGGGTATTTGTTTATCACAGAGGAAATATGTACTTGACATGTTAGAGGAAACAAATTTGTTGGGTGGCAGACCGATTGATGTTCCTATGAATCCGAATCAAAAACTATTAATGAATGATGGTACACTGTTTGAGAATTCAAGTCGGTATCGCAGATAGGTTGGGAAGCTTAATTATCTCACTATTAATCGACCGGATATTTCCTATGCAGTAAGTATAGTAAGTCAGTTCATGTGGTGTCCTAGAGTACCACATTGGGAGGCAGTTACTCGTATCCTACAGTATCTTAAACGAGCTCCTGGACTTAGACTGTTATATCGAGCTAATGGACATCTTAGAGTGGAAGATTTCTCAGATGTTGATTGGGCTGACTCTCCTTCTGATCAGAGATCAACCACTGATTATTGTACTTTCTTAGGAGGTAACGTTGTCTCATGGAAAAGTAAAAAACAATATGTGGTAGCAAGATCAAGTGCTGAGGCTGAGTATAGGGCAATGGAGCATACGACAAGTGAGTTGACTTGGCTACTGCACTTTCTCGAGGAAATTAGGTTCCAGTTCAACCTCCTTTACAATTGTTCTGTGAGAACCAGGGAGCTATCCATATCGCTGTCAATCTGATGTTTCACTAGAGAACCAAACATATTGAGATTGATTGTCACTTTATTCGAGACAAAATAGTAACTGGAGAAATTACGACTCCATTTGTGAAATCTGAAGATCAGCTTGCAGATATGTTTACCAAAGCATTGAGTCGTACACGTCTTACAGAGATTTATTCCAAACTTGGATTATATGATATATATAGTCCAACTTGAGGGGGAGTGTTAAGAGTATTAGGGTGTATATGTAAAGTGTTAATAGTGTTAGGGTATTATGTGTAAATACATGAGGGTGTGTATGTGTAATTTTTATTATTATGAGTTACCTATAAATACAAGTGATGTATGAGGGCTAAATTAAGTTTTAACCTCCCTCTGTTTCTCCCTAAATATTGTCTCTATGTTAATCGTCCAAACTTAACAATGAATAATGTCATTATCATTATAATTGTAATAAATTATATATAATTTTAGATATAAAATACAATTATTTGTAGCATGTCTCCAACGTGTCCGTGTGCTGCTTTTTTTAAAAATGTCATGTTTGCGTGTCAGTGTCCATGTCCGTACTTCTTAGGTCATCAGTGATAGATTGTCTCTGTCTAAAACCAATGATGTAGGTAAACTAAAGATTAAGATCATCAACAAAAAATAAAAATAAATAAAGAAAGAAGGGGGGGTGGGGATGTGCAATCTCATTATAAGTACAAACCAATGACTTGTGAGCATGGATACAACGTGAATTTAAGGGATTAGATACAGCAACTTCCCGAAGTGAAGGAAGTATCCATATGGCACAAAGCCTATGAGTAGTGCAGCAATATGATATGAGGATCATACAATAAGTCTTTTTTGAAATATGTATAACACCTCGTACTTCGGCACACTTGTTAGGGACATTAACATGGAGAATTAGAGAGGTATTCAAATGAGTGCTATGATGAGGATTGAGGAGAAGTGCTCTTATAGGAAGTTAGGGCTTTGGAATCAATGAGAGGACAGTTATAATTTGAGGATCATCGCAATAATCTCATGCACAAATAAATAAACCGCATTTCCACTATGAGGAACACAAGTTTAAAGTAGATTGTAGGATAGGATACCATTTGCAAACATCACAATGAGGTTTATTTTAGGCACTGTATTCTCCGAATAATATTATTGAAGTCACTCAGGCTAAAAACAATCCTCTGACTAACTCAAATTCGTTTACAGCATGAAACAAGAAGGTGAAAAGATAACTCCTATGCTTCCTACATAACATACTATCTATGGAGAGTGCACCATAATTCTGCATGAGAAAGACATCAAGAACACAATTGCATATCTCATCATGTCGAGAGTTCATTTACCGCCTTATTAAACAGATTGAGCTAAGCTTAATCTCAAGAAAAAAAAAACAATTAAAATGGAAGATAATTCAACTCACCCTGCCATTGTTAAATTGACCAAGAAAGCACATTAGATCCTATTTGGCGTCAACCTTCATATCATCAGAATCCGAGTCACTGGCATTGTATCCTAAAGGAAAATAAAAATTACTATTATCTGCAATCTAAGAACGAATATAACCACCATTACAGCAGCAGAGAGTCAAAGAGAGACACTAAAAACCTGGATGTTTATCGCTGACTTTCCATACTGAGGACCGACTCTTCGAAGCTCTACTAATCCAAGCTCGTCCCTGACTTCCCAAAGCAATCAAAATCAAATTATTTTCACAATATCTACCAAAGCAAATTAAGACAAAATTGACATATACAAATTGCCCTCGAATAGAAAAGGAAAAACTTCAAATACCCACCAAACTCCTAAGAAACCCAATAATATCAATAACCAAATTCATCATAAAATTCAAACTTCATCACTAACTCATAAAAAATTGGAATCTAAGACAAAAAGGAACTAGACAGAACCCAAAATCTATACCAAAACCCCAACAAACATAAGAGCCCAATAATTTCAAGAAATCAAATTAGCGAAAAAAATAAAAATTTTCTGAGACAGATAAACACATATTGTAAGTCAATTGCCCCTAATGTGCGAAACCCCACCTAAAAAACAATACCCAATGAAATTAACCAAAAAAAAAAGAAATTGATGAAAAGTAATAGAGACCTTCTGGGCATCTCTGGGGACACCGTAGCCACTATGATACATCTGACCCACCAAGACCTGCATGGCGCTATCCCCGGCTTTGGCCTCCTTGAGTGTGTCCTGAAACCACCGCTTCACGCAGTCCGAAACCACCTCAGAAAGTAGCAATCGGGTCTCTTTTGGCTGCTCTGAATTCCCTTCCATCTTCTTCTTCAACCTCAATCGTTGATGCTCCAACTCAACGTGGATTCCCTTGGTGGGTTTGGCGGGTTCGGGCAGACGGGTTTTGGAAACGGGTTTGATTGGCTTGGAAATTTGTAGTCTGTTGGAGGTGAAGATCTTGGCGAATTCTTGAAGCCTGGTTGTAGAAGGAAGTGATTTTCCCATAAAAAGTTAAAACAAACGAAAGAGAGAGGAAGTGTAAAGTCTACAAGGACATGTCTTTTGTGTGTTATATTTTCTATTGAGAAAGAATTGGCTAGGAAAGTATGGATTAAGATTTCCCTTTCTCGTTCCTTCTGGAGGGCTTGCTTTCGCTTTTTGATTGGTGGGTAGTGTTCTTCGTTCTTATCTGGGTTTCATTGTTTTTTTTTTTGGGGGGGGGGGGTCACTGACTCTCTGGGGAGAAGGTACTGAGATCAATATGCAAGCAGTTCACATTTTCTAATCTGTAAAAGAGGTCGGAGATTATATGAACCAAAGTGGGACCTTCGAGAAGTGTTGATAAGCGATCCGACTTACTCGAATTCGGTTTATTTTTTAAATGCGTAAAATTTAAATAATTTTTTAAATTTATTTAAAAATCGAAAGTAAAAAACTTGATTTAAGCTCGCAAAATTTAACTTATCTTTAATATAAAGCAGGATAAATTTTAATAAATTCATTTGACGGTCTCAAATAGATTCATCTAACGACTACCAACATTTCTCTCAACACCATTCATATCAAATTTTTTTCCTCATAAATCCATCACTTCTCACTTATATCACGATTACATAAGTTTACGTTACACTGTGCCTTCAGACGCAAATTACTTCTAATTTATATATAAAATAATCGAACTATACAAGCTCGGTTAAGGCTCGAGCTTGAAATTTTTTTTTAAACTCAGTCAAGAAAATGAGTTCAATAAGCCGATTCGACTATTAACTTTTAACTTTACCTTGGAGAAGGAAAACACATAGTGATGGATTCTTTCCATCTTAGAAGATTTTTGAATTTTTAAGTTATATTTTAAAAAATTAATATTTTTAAATTATACCCTTAGTCATATTCAAATATAATAATGTGGTCCAAAACATCATGTTTGTTGCTCTGTACATTTTTTTTTTTTGTATTTTTCTATTTATGTAAATAAATTTTAAGAATTTTAAATGAAGTTTTGTTTACTTAATTTTGTCAAAATATATTACTTAATTTTATCAAAACATATCATAATTCTATAACTTTTAGGCTATAAATTAAAAATTTTAAAACCATTTGCATAATAAATAACACATCCCTATTTTGATCCAATAGACACAAATCCTACATTACCACCATAAGATTAGTTTGAGTGTAAAAAATTATTTCCATATATAGAAGTCACGATTAATAAGAGTACTACCAGCAACTCTTTACAATGCACAATATTTTTAATCATTTCCGGTCGCCATTGCCCCAATCCCAACACACCCCCCAAACCCTCATTGTTGAATAATTATATTGTAAATTAATTTTATTTTTTAAAAGATGATAGGAGTACTTAGATAAGACATATAGAAGGATTTAATTGGATGAGATCAATGCATTTATTAAATAATTCAAAATTAAAAAAAATAGCTTTGGATTTTTAGGCCACCGGTAAATGGCACGAAATCCCCACTAGGATAAAATTGGGCTGGTGAAATAAATGAAACAAATTTGATTAATTTAGAGGTCTCAAATACAATCATAATAAGAATTCTGAGAGGTAGTTCAGTGATTGAGCCTGATAATTGATAACTCAAAAGTCTCAAGTTCAATTATTTCTTATGCTCTCTAAGAGTCAACCATCGTTGTTCTTATTGGATATGTTCTAAACTAATTTAGTCACAGTGAAAGCCGTTAAGCTCAATGAAGTAATCGAAGCAAGCTTGCACATCCTGCAATAAAAAAAATAATAAGAAAAAAAAATTATCTCATAATAATTGCGCATCACTTTCGGTAAAAGTCGTTGCATTTCATTTGTAAATGCAAACACATTCTTAGTAAATGGACAAGGGAAACCCAAAAAAAAAATCCATTTTGGTTGGTGAACCCATAATGGGCCGAATAGTGGGCCCTAAGTTCGAGGTCAAGCCCACAACTTTGTTGGCATGGTGTGTCATTTCAAAATTGAATTAATATGGTTTCTTTTATTGCTATTTTTAACTTATTGTTTGTGTGGAAGCGTGTTTAAACTCACGCGAAAGCATATTTTTGAAACTTATTTTCAATTAAAAAATCTTGGAAATGTATTTTGTAAGCATGTTCTCATATGGAAAAGTGTGGGTTTAAACTACACTATCAGATAAATATTAATAAATTAAAAATTAAATCAAAAATTATGATGGAATTAAAATGAAGATCTAAAATAATAATATTTTGGGGAAATTATAACGGAGTACACCAAATTAAATTTAATTGTAAAAAAATACAAAAAAAAATGTTGAATAATTAAGTCCTTAATTTTGATATTTATTTGTATCTAAATACATTATTTAAATTTTACAGATTTTTTTGTGACATTTTTGTCTTCCATTGATCCATGTGTATTTTCTTTGAAAATTGGTGCATTAAACATCTCCTATTATTTAAATTTTACTGATTTTTTGTGACATTTTTATCCTCCATTAATCTATGTGTATTTTTTTTAAAAAGTGGTGCATTAAACATCTCCTAGTATATATATATATATTTTTTTTTTCAAATTATATATAATTATCTTTAATGCACCTTAATTCATGCATATTTTTTTTTTTGGAAAGTGATTTTGTTTTCAAATTATATTTAATGCACCGTGATTCATGTGTTTTTCTTTTAAAAGTGGTTTTATTTTTAAATTAATTTAATATCAGAATAATGTAACAATAACTGTATAACAGTTTAACAAGCTATTTACACAAAATATTGTACTATTACATTATGTCAAATATATAGTTTCATATAATTTTATTAAAAATAGTTCATCTCTGTTTTGAATTTGTTACCACATACACAAAACTATTGAACACTGTTTTTGTTACAATGTATTGTTACACTGTCTTTGTTACAGTGCATTTGTTAAACTATTATGAAGTTCTGATATTAACAAATTTATAAATTCAAACAAGTGATATATTCTAAAATAAACAAAATATTAAAATTCTCCTATAAAACTAGCAGTAATAAATATTTAATGCATAAATATAATTTAAAAATAAAATCACTTTCTCAAAAAAAAATACGCATGAATCAAGATGCATTAAAGATAATTCAAAATTTAGATAAGAGATTTAAAAACAAATGTGTATATATATATATATATTTATTTATTTATATGTTTTAACAAATACACATGAATCGAGGTGAGTTAAAGATAAAAAAATTTGAATTAAATGACCCTAAAATAGACATTTACGTCTCTGTGTCTCAGTTATATATTTTTTTTCAAAACATTTTGTTATATATGTTTTTGGTCTTCAAATACCTAAGTTCGTACGTATCTTTAAATGATAAATAAATCTGCAAAAAATATATGATGTTGATAATTTTTACATCAAATGGATTGAACAGTAAGATTTTTCTTTACAGACGAAACCCTATAGATGTTTACGGAACAATTTTAGGGTTTATCGCTAAAGAAGATGAAGTGGTTTTTGGAAAAGAAGAAGCCCAAATATTTAAATATTTAAGTGAATTTTTAATTCTATTTCAGAAGTTAATCATAATTGTTCCCAAACATTGGAATGGAAATAAACATTTCATTCCATTCCAACCTTCATTCCACTTCCATGTAAAAGTGTTCTCGCATACCAAACGCAAGAGTTTTATAATTTATTGACAAGAGGTCTCTATGTGCTTTTCCTGATATTAAATATCCATCACTAATCTGAATGGAGATTATAAAAGAATGAGATAAGGGAGAGTGGTATGGGAGTGACAAAAAAATAAAGTTAAACAGTTAAGTAAGATTATAAATGAGTTATATGTGGTTATTTGGAAAAAAAGAAGAAGAGTAATAGTCTCATTTCATGAATTGAGACTGCAAAAAGGTTTAAGGAAAAATTACCGTTAGTTATTTGAGAAGAAATCTTTAACATAATACAGGACATGATTTAATAAACTCATTTGACAGTCTCAAATATTATTCACATTGTACCGTACTTTCAGACACGAGTTACCTCTAGGTGAACACTATAAATAATGGACGCAAGATGTAGCAACCAAGCAAAGTGGAATGCACAGTGAATTCATTGGATAAATTATTTGAAGGGGAAGCCCTCTAAACCATCTTAGACGAGGAGATTAACTCTAATATATTTTCTTCAATTTTATTGTAATCATGTATGATTAGAAGACACACTTATAAATAATGGGTCTTGACTCTTATATAAATTCAAGATGAGAGATTTATAGATATATTTGATTCGATTAAAATCTGATTTGAATTATATATATATATCTATAAATAATATATATGAGATTGTTGAATGTTTAATGATATTGAGTTGAAATTCTATATTCAAAAAAAATTAAATTTAAATTTAATTAATATAAAATATAACTTTTAGGAATTATTTGGATTTAATTGAATTTTTTGATCTGTTTTCTTACCTTTAATGTGTTTAAATATAAGCTGTGAAAATAAAATTCTTTAATCATTTAGGTACGACTCAAATTAAAGTTTTAAAATCGAATTTGAATTCAAATAAGTTGAAATCCGAGTCTAAAAAATATGAGATGAGCACATTGTGAATCAAAAAGAAAGAAAAGTATGGCGTTGACATCTTTTTTGATCTATTGTGATCTGAATGTCACGTGTTTGAATTGTGAAAACAATGGATAAAATTATATATATCTAATCCTCTTCAAATCTCGTAATAACGAGAATCTCATGTGCTGAGTATGTCCTTTTAAATTAAATCTTTAAAAGCATTATAACAACACTTTAGATATTTTCTTATATTTTCCGATGCGAAAAAAGAAGCAAGAAGCATCTTAGAGTCTTTATGCTTTGGTAACCACCAACATCTCAAATCAAGGTCTATTTTTCACACTGGTTATGATAAGGTATCCAAAATTTACTTTAGATATTCGATGCCTGCTTGTTGTTTTTATCAATTATCATAGTAATGGACAAAGTTCTTCTTTATCAAGTTGCTACGAAAAGATGGAATAGCACATTTCGTCCACTCGTTAATTTAAAAATCAGGACGAAGACAGCAAGCACTATATAAGAGATGAAGTTAAAGTAATATAATCGAGGTCTCATATCAAGAATCTTAAATTGAAGAAAATAATACGAAGAAGAAGATGAAATTTATAGTGGATCGGTAGAAATTTTACCTAAGATCCAAGGGAGTGATTGTATTTGATGAGCCCAAATTTTATTGAGTCAGACCCAATTAATTAACCAAGTCCAAATTAGTTACAAGGCAAGCCAAACCCAACTCGTGGATTCGGCTCAATCCAAAGTCTAAGGAATTCAAGAAGATTAGAACACGTGGAGAGCAATCATCGGAATACCCACTCTCTAAGATCAAGACAACCTTTAATTGTACTTACTTTTGGTAACTATCCGAAGAATTAATACGTCTACCCTCACGTTATCGCCTCAACTGGAACTTTACGCCTATAAATTATAAGTTCTCTCTATATGAGAGACACCTCTCTACACACCCCATGCATAATTTTTCTCTCTCCTAGCTACTATATCTCTTCCGGTGCTAACCATTGCTCTCTCTCTCTCTCTCTCGTTCAGCTTATTTAATCAATAAAATGTCCCCTGATCACCGTTGTCATTTCTCGAAGTGGAGTAGGTCACCCGGACCTAACAACTATATATTTACGTGTTGACCCAATATTTACATTATGGTCATTAGTTGTTCTATTAATTGTCTATTAATTGTCTGATCACCGTTGTCATTTCTCGAAGTGGAGTAGGTCACCCGGACCTAACAACTATATATTTACGTGTTGACCCAATATTTATATTATGGTCATTAGTTGTTCTATTAATTGTCTATTAATTACATTTTATCACACACTTAACTATTAATCTTGTGTAAGACCGTTTTATGCACCATCAGTATTCATTATAAACTAGAATCCCATAGGATTATACATGTTTATCGGCACTAGTTATCCTATGGTCCAACAAGAAACTCTAGTTCTAGTAATCTGATACACCCAATCGGGTAGGTACACATCGAAAATTCTTCATATATCCATATTATACTACAGGAGGCTACGATGCCCCCAATTAATGGGTATTTTGACTAATAGTACTTTTTGTCTTGTATAGACTTTATTTTTTAAAATCAAAAGTTCAAGTCTCCATTCTCCTTCCTCTTCTATATATATATATATATATATATAAAAAAAAAAAAGGGCTACGATGCCGCCATACCGTGAGGGCTTAACCTATTATTCGACTCTCTAGTAACTAAAAATAGATATCGTTGATGGATTGGTCAATAACGCCTGTTAATTTTTGGGCCCAGCAAGTATGAGTCGCCCACTATTCTCAATAAATTTGTGTGAAACCAAACATGGAATAATTTTCAATGGAACAATTTGGGATAAGGGCATCACGAGTTGTAATGTATTATGATGCTCTCAACCGGGACAACGTTCGTTCCCTGCCCTCTTTGGCCCTTTCACCCACCCTTCTCTCTATTTCCCTTCTTATCTATGATATTTGGTTGAAATTAGTGATAGAGAAATTATTGAGATAGTATAATGTTATGCTGTCTAATTTGTATATCAAAAAATTTATTTCAATTAAGTTGACACGTTCACACACCATATATTTTTACGAAAAAAATTGACTTATTAGGATCCACAATCTGGTGTGTGAAGGTGTCAACTCATTTGAGATGAGTGTTTCGGGATATAAGTTGGTCAACGTAGTATTACTCGTTGCGGTAACTATCTATCACACGGAGATGAGGGTATTGAAAGTATCCGGAAAGATTTGTAGGCAATTTTACATTGTAATGGGGGAGAAAGATGAAGGAAGCCTATATTTTACATAGGCATTCTTAATTCGAAACAACATCCTTTTCTTTTGGAGTAAATTGTTCTTAACATGATATCAAAGCAAGATATCCAGTGTTTAAATCTCGCTGTCACCTTAGTTATTAATTTTTTTTTTTTCATATATTAAGACTAAAATCTAGCCTACACATAAGGATACGTATTGAAGTATAAATATTTAAATTACACTATCTCCAATAAATTAATCTTTTAAAGTAAATGATTGTTAAATTGACAAAAAAGAGAATGGTAATTGTGGTGGAGAAAGGGAATAGTCATGCTTAACGCAAAATGGAATATTACAAACATAGATTCTTTGGGAATTTTGTTGGATGTGGGTATAATTCCTTCCAAAGAAAAGAATATAGACATCACAACTAGGCCTTTTTTCCAAAGTAAATCCCGATTTCTTCCCTCTCTCATCTGAAAGGAATATGCTTTTTATGAGCTATGGACAATTTTACAACTTTCTAAGTATAAACTTATTTTTATCTCCAGCCTTGTTTTTCTTAGCAACTTCTGATTGTTAGGGCATTTCTATGCTTTAAAAGAGGTTTAGGTTTGTAATTTTCACGAAATCCAAACTCGAGGTACCTTTGTTTTTCTTGTTCAATCTCCATGACAAACTTTGTACTATAAGTGTTTATACACTTCAACAAATTAATCATACCATTTTTGAGCTATGAATATGTATGATTGTACCCCCAAATTTCGTGAAATGTGTACAGGTATTAGAACTAATAATGATTAAAAATGTTAACGTATAGGAAGAATTTAGTACTATGAGTAATAATTTCATACAGACGGTGAGAAAGTCTTGAATAACCTACATGACAAGAAAAAATTTAGGTGAATCTATGGCCGGAGACAAGGGTACCGAAGGCCTTTATTTATAGTGATAGAAAGCGGTATTCCAAAAGAACTCGAATTTTAAGTTATGATAAAATTGACCTCATCACCAGTTTCTAGATGTTCGGAGTAGAGTTAGACTAGAACTCTTATTCCTTAGTCTCTCGTCACCAATTCTTAAATATTCAAAATAACATTTAATTAAGACTCCAAGTCTTAGATTACTCCTTATGCAAGTAGGACTCGTCTAATGGAGATGAGCAAACAATGGGTGAGAGCCAAGTACCTTCCGGGCCATGGTCACATAACTGCCGGCTGGCTCAGTCTAGTGGAGAGGTCCCCCCACAGCTACTTTTAAGAATTGATCGTGAAGAATCCTCGCATGTTACGAGTAACCTCCTTTTGCAGGAAGATGCCTACGGTAGCCAAAAAAAAATTCCAGTACCATTCATAAACACATACTTAGTGTTGAGAAACTAAGTTACAAATATTCTTAATCAATTCACAATCTAACATAACAAAATTCCTAAAAAACATTATTTTGAATCGTAACTTACCCGAGAAGGTAGCCGTTTCCTTTTACCGAGAAATTAACTAAATAGGAAGGGATTCATACGTTTTTGATCTGTCGTGAATGGTTAGATTAAAGAGAGAATTAATGCGATTAAAGTGATCCAAACACCTTTTTGACCATTGAAAGAGGGAAATAGTAATCATAAGGCTATGTGGCATAAAAGCATTTTTATTGCACAAGTAACACACCATATAACAGATGAGTCAGGATGTAACCAACAGGGTCTCCCCATAATGGCCTCCTCAAACTCAAAAACACACAAAGACACTTTAAATCCCAAACACTCCTTAAAATAAAAGACGAAAGTAAACTAAATAGGCGACATAGCCAAACAAACCCTTAGTAAGACCAAATCTAATTACAGCCGCACAAACGCAAGATACCACAGTACTTCAGCCCATGCGCAATCACACGCTGCAATGGCTTGTACCGTTTTATTCAAAGTAGAAAGTACTACTAATCTTATACTACTCCCGGCCGCAGAGAGGATCAGAGCTTATAGTGCCAGCACAAGACCCGGCATAGATTTACCGACGAGATTCGAGACGCTACTCTCCCAGACCGACGGGCAATGGAGTGACGTAATAGCCGGGAAATCGGACGATGATGATTGGTCTGTGTTCCCCAGGAGGGTAACAGTCAGAGAAGTATTGAAATACTCTCTCACCTGTGTAATTATCCCATCACTGACAGTCCACGCGTGAACCCAATATATTGAACGGTCTTGATCGTAGCCCTCAACGAGAACCGTTGATCCGACGTTGGCAATAGATTGGTTCAAGAACTCGAAGGAGTCGTCGGCGGTGGCAGTGCCGGTGAGCAAGCGCATCATAAACTGGTGGGAAGGCGGGCCATGGAACCACCACTCCAAATCGGAGGCCAAGAGCTTGTGGATGGTGTCGACGTCTCGTGAGCTTAGGGCTTCATATAGGGCGAGCACCACCCTCTGGTTTTGGGTCTCTTCCAGAGTTTTCTGAGAGTTAGCCAGTTGCGAGCTAGCGAAAGAATTTCGAGAGAGAGAGAGAGAGAGAGAGAGAGAGAGAGAGAGAGGAGAAGTGAGGAATACATTGGGGTGGGGAGAGGTATTATATAGAGAGAGTGGAGGGTATAATTGGAATTGCAATTATCCTATGACGGTTCGTGGAAATCTATAATGAATTTGTTTTTGGGTTAATCTCATGCAGCTGGAAAGATATTTAGATTCTCACTTTTTACCCTAAAAATATTAAAAATTTTAATTTACACCTTAAACGTTATAAATTTGTAGTAATGTAGATCTAACCCAAACTGTAATTCAATTTTACGTCATAAATTGAAAAACGTGAGGTGCAACTATTTTGAGCACGAGGATGATATATGTTCATTACTGTAGATCTTCGTCTATGATTAATTTAACAACATTTTGTGTATCAAAAATAAAGTTTCATTAATAAAATAGAGACTAAACCTATCATATGCAACTCATATGAGACACAAATAGTTTGTGAATTTATATATAAGTCTATGCCCGAAGCACTTGCAACTCTTGCACTTCAATTAATGATGAAAAACTAAATGATAGCCTAGGTCAAGTTTGCATTGCTATCAATTCATAATATTGTAGAGTATAAATTGAGAATTTTAATATTTGATGGTATAAATTGAGAATTGAAACGTCTTTCAGGGCTTAAAGTGAAATTAGTCCTTTATTTTTTGGATTTGTATGGAATGTTAGTAATTTTAATATGATTAATTTAATTAATTAATTAATAACAAAACCATCACTCATAAGCTCCAACAAATCAAAAATCCATTTAATCTAGCTTCTAAGAAAACCAAGCAAAAAGTATTTTTAATTTTATAAAGATGCATCCAATTAAGTCTGTCAATCATGTCAAGTGAATCGGGTCCGTATCGAATTTTAATAAATTCATGTCAAAAAGTTCTCCTTTCATATCCGATTCGTTTATTAATTCGTGTCTAACGAATCATCTTATATTAAGTCTGTGTCGTATATGAATCGTGTATAACCAGTATATAAATGAGTCGTGTGGTGTATTTTTTAATTGGTTTCACTCATACTCGATTCGTTTATTAATTGTGTCGTATCAGATCTACTAATTTATGAAACATGTGGTTTAAGGAAGACTCAAATGCTTTAATTTCTAATTCGTGTTCATGTCGTGTTAACGAATCGTGTTATCTTTTGACACCCCTACATTAATGCAAAATTAAGAATTATCTATTATATAATACTGGTTAAAGAAATTTGTTTTGTTGAAATTAAGTTATTTGTATTTGATAATAAATTGATCAATTTATTATAAATATCAGTGAGTTGCATCATTTTATGTAATTATTAAAAATTGATTCAATCCTAATTGTTATGGTATATCGAACAAAATTTCCTCCACATGCTAAATTTAATTTGTAATCATAAATCTTAGTTTGATTCATTTTTAACCCATTAACTATAAAAATTATAAAATAAAATACTTTTACACATTTAATGTTTTTTTTAATAGAAATAAATTTTTAAGTAATATAATTAGACACCAAAAATTATCACCATATTGAGTCTTAAGCAACTCAAGACATCCTGATGTATAAAAGAGCAATTTTTTTAGGTTTAATTGGAATACTTAATTAAGATTTAATTAATTTGAAAATTTGGTGTAAATAACATTTTCTTATTAGG